TTCGAGGGAATCAGTCGATGGCGGCATCGGAGACTGTAGATGGGCGGTTGAGGACACTTCTGAATTGCTCGGTCCATCCCTTTAGGATTTGTGATTTCTCTGTCAAAAGTGTTCTCTGGTCGGAGCGCAGCAGCTGAGCTGCTCCCTAGGCTGTGGAGCTGTAGACCGCCTTGATCGATGCGAAGAAGTTCTTTGTCTAATTGCGGTCAGCATACCCTTGGATTTCCTCGGCCTTACATGTCATCCAGGCGGCCTGCATCTCCTGCCGTCGCTGCTACGCAAGGCAGCGACATCTGAAGAGGGTTGCTTTGCTTGCGCCGGTTCGATGGTCAGTGTATGCCTTGTGCAGTCTATGCTCTTCGGTGAGCTGATATCTGCATTACTGTCTTCAGATCCATTCTGATATTGGCGACATTCGCATCTGAGGACGTCCAAAGCAGTAGATTGTACAGCGTCTCGCAGTTGACACCACCAATTCTCAGCGATAGCGTTTTTGTGCTCGGCTATCAGTTCTTCTAGGTGCTGAGCCATTTGATTGCTTAAATGTGAGCGGTGAGCAGACAAATTTAACAGAACAATATTTAACTTACCTAATGGTCACCTACTTTGTGGTCGCCAGTGGAGTTGTAGTCGGAGCTTCATCTTGGAGAAGACGAGGCGGTGATCTGTCCAGCCTTCGGCATCGCAGATATCCTTCGTCAAGAGCACGTCCTTTCGACCTCAGTGCTAGACGAGGACTTAATCCACTAACGTCCAGATCGTCTTCTTCCGAGCCGGAAGGAAGGAGGGGTTGGTTGGGGGGAGGAGACCTTTTTCGCAAGTTCGCGGGAAAAGGAGGCAATTGTCGTTGTAGCCAGTGACTCTATGGGAACCCTGCATTCCCCTCTAGACAGCATTGTCTGTCCCGACACGGATGCCGGAACAACATGAGACAACCCGCTTGTCTGCCTTCGGCACAGTCACTAGGAGTCCGTGCAGATCATCGTAGAACCTGATCCACGCCTCCTCGGAGCTGGTAATTGGGGTGGGGAGCATGACAGTGACGCTGGGGTCAAATTTGGCTCCTTGAAGAGGCGGGTGCAGGATCCTGTGGCTCTCGTCGACACCCTGTGCCAGACAGGGTAGCCATCCCACAATGACGTTCCAGACGGCAGAATCAACGCCAGCGCCGCGTCGCTCTGCCTTTTGACGGCAGCTCCATGAGAAGAAGGTGCAGTCGGCACCCACCTACTCCACCTGGCCTTGTCTGGGCAAGCGGGTCTCGCTGAAAGCGACAAGGTCCACCTTGTAGTGCATCAGTTCCTGGCCGACTGGCGCTGTCCTCCATTCTAGTCGGTTGCCCCTCGGGTTATCTAAAAGGGAATGAAAATTCCAGGCTGCCAGACTGAGCGGACCCACCCAGCAGTCTGTGGTGTGGGACGGAGAGAAGGGGGCGAGGGTTGTTGATTTTCCTTGTTGTTTTCCGACCTCGAGTTTTGAGGCTGCGAGACACGACGTACTGGCAGATGGCGTGATTTCCCAGTGTTTGTTTAGAACACGTTTTCTATTCCCTTACCCGAGAGACAGTAAGCAGCGCTATGGTCGTTGTTACACCCCAGTCGGATGCGTCGCGGCTTTGTCAAGTGGAGAACGACCCAAGTTAGCCTGGGATTGTATGCCGACCTCTCCGCTGGACTTTTGAAGTGGGATGGGGAGGGAATAGAGGGAAGGGGGTAGAAGGCAGGAAAGGATATGAAGGGAATGGCAAAATAATTACCTGTTGTGGCGACACACAACACCAGCTACCCGCACCTCGTTTAGCTCGCCGGTCGGGGTGTCCACCGGAATGTGGCCGCTAAGTGGAGCCTAGTTTCGGGGAGCCACATTTGAGAGCTACGTGCCAGTTAGGGGCTGTGAGGATCAATTACCATTTGCATGGCGTGACCTACCATTCATGCACGAGTATCCCCTAACTTGACACCTATCCCCTTACACGTCTGAAATATGACAGACGTTACATGCAGGCAGAATCAAGGACAGAATTTTGTTTTTACGGACAGTAAATCAGTTTCTCAGAGAGACCAATTTCTGTGCGTGCTTTATTCCATTGAGAACTGGGGCAGGCTCTTTTCTGATGATAGATTCCAAGGACACCATCTCCTTTCCGCAGTAGTTAATCTAGTTTTAGTTAATATGAGTTTGACTGGGGCCTAGAAAATAAATCGAAATCATTTGTTTGTACCTTGCACAAATAAACTATTATACAACATGAACACTGTTCGTATTGGAATGTCAGAAAAGACCCATGATCAACTCATTGCAAGGCCTTTCGTCGTTGTTGGGAAAGTCAAGGAATCTGACAAGACCGGTGATCAGGCGACCGGGAATACCCAGGATACCGAGGATGTTACTCTGGTGTCGGCCGCCCACTCGAGACCCACCTTTCAACTTTCCTTCTACCTTGAGCTAATTTCTAACCTCAGACTTAAAGTAATGACACACTACGAGGAAGAAGATTTCACCACCGCCGACGAACTCATGCCCTTGTCGGGCCCTGTTGCTCACACAATATGTCCATCCAGCGGTGTTAGATATCGGCACAGCTCGATAAAGCTCTGGATGCAAGGTGGTTTGCGGAGTCTCGTCTATCCATAACCGCTCCGAATAATCCGAACACCTGTTGAAATTCAATTCTAAAACAGTAAGGTTGTTGGTCGCAAGGGACAACCTAGTCGGTGATAGAAAATGGACAAGGACGCCGTGCGAATTCTTGTGTAGGTCATGGACTATGACCTATTGCATCGTCTATCAGCTTACAAGGTCAGCTATCTCGCTTCACTTAGACAGGTGATCAAATTACCGGGTTAACCTGTCAGTTAGCAATAGGCATCGCCCGGCCTTCACCAAACACCTCCCTCACAGTGAGCATTCTTTCGACTCCAAAACAACCTTCGGAGTACCTTCTCATGCGCGGCAACTCGAACACTGATGCACTTGGAAGCAATCTACATACAGATAGAGAAACGGGACCTGACCGTGAAAGGATTACCCGACGTGTACCACAGCCTGCTGTGTACGCCACTAACCACAGGCGTGCTCTAGTTGGACAGGTCAACGAGCGGATTGCTCCTCTACTTCCTTATGTCTTAATAAGATGGGTTGCTTCTGGGATTGTCATCAAAAAAGATTAGTCGAAAGGTTACGCATCAAGCACAACACTGGACGACGCACACTCCAGTGCAGCTCATTTCAGGAATTTCTTGACCCTACGATGGACATACACTCATTCGTCACACTGGAGTCGTCTGAGAGGGGATCTCCGCGGAAGTGGCTCTCGGATTGGAAGGAGTCAATGGGCACACCTTGAGGAAGTCCAATATCTATTATGGTATAGGCTGGAATTCAACGGATTTCGCCGAGTTTTGCATACATTCTCATGACACATTGCAATCCCCCTCCCCAATATTATCATAAGAGCCCTTAGTAAGTCCGTAAGACGATGTGCCCATATGACAGTACGATCGTCGATTCCAACGATGCCCACCGTGTGCCACACAGTAAGGTGCAGCAGGCAAGGTGAATTGCGCGTGATAGCAGGCTTGCGCAGCATATATCGCACACTCCTCCTCCCCGCTGCCCGCCTCCTCCTAGAGGTGGGGAGGGCGCAGGTGATGTATTCATATACGGTTACATATATCCAAGTTCCTTTTTATATACAGAGAGTGGGGGTACC